TTACTGGAGAGGCCATTCGAATTATCGAATGAATACCCGTTGAAGTGACATTAGCGAAGGAAAAAAACTGTTATGCAGAATTACCGGTAAAAACCAACGGTACCACTACGTTTCTGACACCGAAAACACGGTTACTCAAGAAGTACGGAACGAAGATCCCATGCGACCACATATTTCCTCAACTATACAGGATAAACAGCAGGTACTAGATACCTTAACAGAAGTGAAGATCCTAAAAGCATTAAAGCCGATGACGAAAACCACCTAGCAATACGCAGAACCGTCAAACCTGGCAACAAGCGGCATATACACCCCCAGTGATCTAGAAAGGCTCAGAGACCGAATCATTTTCCCTATTGAGCAGCCAGCACTTCTCAACGATATCGCCCGAGATACGCATGGACAACCAGGAATCGACCATCAGAGTTCCATTTTCAGGCTCCTAAATGAGGCATCACTGGAAGAACTTGCTGATAATGTCTGGAAGCGTGTATGGGGGAAGCTGACCACTTTTGGCAACGCTAGTGCAGGATTTGCGGCCATCTACCTGATTATCCATGTAATAAAAACAATAGCAGAAGAATTAATCAACAGCTACTTACTGCACCAAACCTATGGGTGGTCAGTACGCATGCTTGGCGCAATCTGGAATACCCTTACGAAGTTACTACTCTTCGTTGGGCAAGACCACCCAAATCACCGAAAAAACAGAAACCTGGCACCACAAGAAGAAGCTGAAGCACAATACCAAATCCACGTATCAGAATACATGCAAATCAAAAACCCTACCGCTCCGAACATTCATGATACTACCCCAAAAGAAGACCCACTTTACGCCATTTCATAATAACCCACAAGAGCGTAACGCCAAACCAAATGTAACACTTCTCCCTAAACAGGTACTCAGCGAACTGCTTCTAGATCTTTTTCAAAAGCCCTAGTACCAGTTTTAGGAGGCGGGTAATAGGGGGAGCGCAACCCTATATGTATACAAAAAATAAAAATTTTTTTTTCAAGTATAAACGTTACTAAACTTAGTTATAGTATTGGTCCCGGTAAAGGTTTTTGATTACTGTTTTCCCGTCACCACAAAGTCCCTCATTGCTTTTTTTCATACCTTGAGGCACCCTGGGCAAATGCAGGCCAATGAATAGTTATAAGTCATAGATAAATAAGAATAACTAGCTTGAAACGTAGATTTAATTTATCGTATTGTAAACTAGGTAAATAAGTTGTTAACACTCAGCGAACTGTTCCTAGACCTTTTTGTTTACACCAAAAGCTCTAGTACCAGTCTTAGGAGGGGGGTGTAACATCGGTGTATCCACATTAATTTTTTTTTTCCTTGCTTCAAAACTTTCCATGCCGATTCTAGAACACTAAACGCAGGGGCCAATGTGCATCTGCAAAGAGGTGAATCACCTACAAAATTGCTCGTAGCTAAGGTACTACGCCCATGCATGACTCACATACATGCACGCTGGCCCATGCTGACCGGAAAAGAAATCAAATGAAATACTTTTCAAAGCATAAAATAATAACTTGAAAGAACTAACAGATGCAAAAGGTTAACTGGGAACAGCTGCGCTGAGATTTAATATTAGATATTAGTATATATAGATTGAGTATGTTAAAAACTAGGATAACTAAGAGTTAAGACCCATAGACCATGGCTAATACAACCTGTATACGCTGCACCATTAGCCAGCAACAATATTACATAAACCTACAAAAGCAATCTTATTGACTTTCACAGAATTATCTGATTTTTACCATTCATGTTCGCAGGCTCATGATTTACTGTACAACCTTTTTGTATCGCGTTAACAGATTTATAAACATACTGCAATAGCCCAAATTATAATCTTGTTAAAAACTGTCACTGTTTCAAATGTAAAAGAAAACGGGAAAGTCATGGCACTTCCCCCTTTTCCTGACACAGAGATGTCCAGAGAGAGTCTAACACGGGTAACGGAATTCCTGATTACCCAGGGTATCCTGAGCCGACTTCCTTTCTTACGACAAGCAGAGAAAACCATAGTTGACCAAATGCTACTAACATTTTAAAATACATTTACAAGTAACAATGAATGGAAACCATCGGTAAATCTCAGTAAGTTAACAATATAATACTTCGCGACGAGCACCCCACTACTATTTCTATTTATATATATATGCGTGTTTTAACCACAGAAACCGCTGTTGTTAATTAATCATTCATGATTATTTATTAGTCCGATTAATGCTCACGTGTACAGGTGTAACGAGCGGAAAATCTAGCAAAACTTATCGTTATTAATATCAAAAATTAACTACTACTGAGACTATTATCAATACCACGAGGTACTGAACATCTATTCAATCAAACTGAATATTAAGCGATTTTCACCGCTCTTTTTGCATTGGGCTTGAGTGAATGGGTGAAAAATGATTACTATTCGTTAATGACGATAACATCACATCTTAACGTTAATATTAAGTTATGATAAAATCTTGTAACTTTTTTATGTAAAAGATAAAGGAAGGGCACGAGTAAGTAAATCACCTTCCCTTCTCTTGATGCATAGAGGAGAACAAGCCGGATGTAGGATGTGCCTGAGTAGCTAAACTAGAGCAGTTCTAGCCAATTAGATTTTCGGCTATTGTCTTTTCTTCAAAATTTTCGCCCGGCAAGTTTTCCTGCGTTTTTCCAGCCAACGCGTGGTCGAGGTCCGCTACTCCTTATAAATAGGGCCTAAAGGCACAGGAAAAACACAGTTTTTATTTTCACCCTCGAACGGTTGACTAAGTAGCTAGAGTCCGCCTCTGCTATCTCACGGTCCTCTACGAGTGCGGTTACAAATCTTTGATCTCAGACACCTCACGCTGGTTATTCCACTGTACATTTATACTGAAAATAAAAGTAAGTCAACTTTGTATACTAAAGTGATGATTTCTTTTTCTTTTTTTCCTCTCGATTTCAAACGCGGACGTGTTTTTATTAGAGTTTGAAATTCGGCATCGGTAAATATCACGTTATGAAATTAAATAGACGAATTACTCCTCACGTAAAGTCTAGGACAATCACATTTACTCCGGATGGTACTGGTGAATTCTAGACCGGTCGCGAACTTAAACCATTTTTCCCCCCTTGCGTAACCTTTAGAGCGTAACAACTTTTGCTCGTTACGGTACTGGTAACCTCTAGATCACGAACGGGATACGGTTCGACACGTCACACCAGGTATCCTCGATAAATCTGAGGCGCGTCGCGAACGAGTGCATCGCATTATTGCTCAACAGCGTCGATTTAATTAAAACGATCACCCTTACCCCCTTTCAAATACTCACACAAGTATGATAACTACCTTTTAGCCCCGCGTTTCACCTACGCGCCCAGTGCGAGTCCCGAGTTATTAAGCGAAAGCTTAAACTCGAATAGTACGTTGCACCGACGTAACACATTTTCAGATGTTAAAAATTTAAAAAGTTGGTTCCAATGTGGCGGCCAACTTTTCCAAACAAAATTTCAAGTTTAAAAAAATACTGTTGCATTTTTAACCTCTGTTATAATAAAGCTTATCTTTTTAATTGCAACGAGACCCTTGTTACTCCACAGCTAGAAATCTAATTAAATCCTAATCAACTTGAAGTTCTATTAGTATTTCAGTAAAAAACTAATATTACAACGGTAATAAGATCAATGAATGAGGATTCACATATCGACTTTAATGTAAATTATATCATATGAATGTCATAACTATGGTTCTGAAATAACTAACAAGCCAAATATGTAATAATATCTGTATTTTCTTATTGCAAAAGAATTTTATACTTATAATAGCACAAACTCGTAAAAAATAGTTTACAATATTAACCGAGTAAGACAAGAATCAATTATTTTCAGTATTGATTTCCATACTCGTATTTTTAACATGTAAAGAATATTATTAGTGATAAGTAATGTGAAACATTCAGTAAGTACAAATAATAATATAACTGTGTCATTATGTCTTAGTTGAAAGAAAAGAGTCAAATAACTTATAATTTTAATAACTTTTAATATTGCATAATGCTCATCACTTCAGAGGCAGCGCGGGCAGGATACCTAACAATTTTCAACTTCTTATTAGGAATCACTATGAATGCATGTGCTTTAAATCTATTTGTTAATTTTAAAGCTGCAGAAAACCTTTTAGCCAGATGTCTTTGAGTCTTATCACGCTACTTCGTACTATGGTAATAGAAATTTATATTGTTAAATTTTTTTACTAGAATANAGAAAAAGCTCTTGGTTTACAAAGAAAAGAATAAATAGCTTATCCGATCCCACACATTCCACCCATATATTACAATTAAATACTATTATATCTAGATTCCCTAATTTTACTATCCAATACCTGCCTTTTTATACCTTTCATCCTTCGACTGATTTCCACATTGATCAGCCTATTGGCCCAGAAAAAGGACTTGGTTTACAAAGAAAAGAATAAATAGCTTATCCGATCCCACACATTCCACCCATATATTACAATTAAATACTATTATATCTAGATTCCCTAATTTTACTATCCAATACCTGCCTTTTTATACCTTTCATCCTTCGACTGATTTCCACAATAATATCCCTATCAGAGTTTAATCCTTGGTTAACAATCATTGTGCTTAGACCTTCGTAGTTACAAAAATTTTTTCTTTCCGCACTATATAAATCACACTCATTTCATTTCTCTTTCTCACTTCTACACACCTTCAATAATCTATTCTCATCTAGACTTTGTATTTTTCGTTCAAATTTTAACGTTCTCACCCACCACGCATCACATAATTTATCTATGCCAGTTTCCCTATGGACTATGTATCTCGGTGTACAAAAATCCAACCTTCATACCCATCTAAAATAATCCAGCTGTATTTTCTCCAATTCCTTTTTTTCCTCAAAACCCCAGATTTTCACCCCATATGACATAACACTTCTAACCAGATAATTAAACAACATCTTCCTTCTCCTGAAATCATTTTTACACCTTCTTTCCCCCAGCCTCCACACTCTTTTCGCCGAAATAATCCTTTTTTTTTTGAAGCTCCTCTATATGATCTTTAAAGTTCGCTTCCCTATTAAAGATAAAACCTAAATATTTAACAGATTTAACCTCCTCCATCTCCTCTCCCTTATACAGCCATTTTTCTTTCCAACTGTTCCTACCTTTATTAAACACTAGAATTTTTGTCTTCACTACGCTTAGAATCAAATCTCTGCCTTCCAAAAATCTCTTTAATACTCCCAACATATCTAACACTGCCTCCCTGTTTAATGCTAGTAGGACTAGATCGTCCGCATAAGCTAACGACCATACCCTTATTCCTCCAATAACTACCCCACCTACATTCCTATTTTTATATTCTTTTTCTAAAGCAGCTATACAAATGCAAAACAGGATGGGGCTTAGCACGCACTCCTGCATCACACCTTTTAAACTCTAAAATTTGTCGGAGTACGTATTGTTCACTTTTACCGTAACCATCGTTTCTTCATATAATTCTTTCCTTCTTTCAATTGAAAATTTGCTTATGCCTTCCTCCTCTATCACCTCCCAAAGCATCTCTCTATTAACCGTATCAAAAGCCGCAGTTAGATCCACGAAGCTTGCAAAAACTTTTTCTTTCTTAGACCTTGCCGTTTGAACCACATGATTCAGGATAAAAATGTTATCCATAGTAGACCTTCCCTTACGAAATCCGGCCTGCCCTTCCAGGAGAATCCCTTTCGCCTCCACCTCCCTCACCAGTCTACACCTCAATACTTCTATGTACACCTTATATGAGGTCGGCAGCAAGGAGATCCCCCTATAATTTTTTTCCTCGTTGACATCACCTTTCTTGTAAAGCGGGACCACTACCACCAACTTCCAATCTTCGGGCAAACCTTTTACCGCCCATATCTTCTTTAACATGAACATCAATCTTTTGAATAATTTTGGCCCACTGTGTTTCCAGACCTTATTCGAAATATCATCGCAACCAGCTACCTTCCTTTTTTTTAACGAATTAATCGCCATTATTACCTCCTCCTCCTCCATTAGACTTTCAGTATCCTCTGCCTCCAACTGCCTTCTTGCTCCCACCATTCTCTCACAGCTTCCCTCAATGAGAAATCTAAAATATTTCTTTCATGCATCCATTGAAATGTTATTCTCAACAGAATTTTTCTTTTTACCAGCACCTAAGAACTTGCACCCATCTTTTTCGTGCTTGATGCTCCTAAGCTTTGCTGCTTCCATCTCCTTAAGGTTAGCTGCCTTATCTTCACACGTCTTCCTCTATTTCCTTCTTTCATTCAAATATACTTCTTTTCCTACCAGATTTTTTCTCCATTTATAATACGCCTTCTTCACTTTTCTTTTCCTCTTCCTACATGCACTATCCCACCTCTTCATTTCGCCTAACCTCTATACCTTGTACTTGATCTCCTTTTTTATAACAGATTTGTCTACTATACTCTTGATTCCATCCCAAATTTTCTGTACAGAATCCTTCTCCGTTACTATGCATTCTTCGCACAAATCTTCTGCCGCCTGCTGGAATTTCACTGTATCTTCTTCCGACCTTGAACAAAACGTGTACTTCAAGGCAGAAGGGCAAGTGATCCGCGTCCACCCTTCCCTTTATATCAAATTTATTAACCCAGTCCAAGGCAAAACAATTAACTAGCACGTAATCAATGACTGTACTTCCTCTCGGCCCTATGTATATAAACTCACCTTTCTCATCCCCTTCATGCCACCCGTTTAAAATATAAAACCCTTTATTTTCAACTACCTCTATCAAATGCCTACCTTTATTTCCAATCCCAGCATCTTTGCTTTTCCTTCCTTTAAGTTCACCAGACTCCCCTTCCACAAAACTACCTAGCTCTCCCGTTATGATATTAAAATCCCCCCAATAATTACCTTCTCCCCCTTAACAAATTCATAAGCCTCTAAAAATTCTACCACCTCTTTTAGATTACCGGAATTGTACACCGACTATATATTTACAACCTTATTATTATTTATAAAACTACTTATCACAATGTTTTTTTTAAACTGTTACATTCAGACCGTTTCCATTTTCAACCAATTTTTTTCTAATGCCTAACAAAAATCCGCCTTTCGCTCTACCCTTTCTATTTTCTCTTACCGCATCTATAGATTTCCAAATAAAGTTTTTTGATAGTTTTCTTTCTAAATTTAACCAACTTTTATTTTCTAACCATGTTTCGCATAAGCTTATAAAATTATATTTTTCAACGAAGTTCCAAAAATCTCTATCTTTATTTAAAATTCCCGCGCAATTCCAAAAAATGAAATTTCTAGAACTTTTATAATTATTATAACCTATTACGTTCTTACATGCATTACCTTTCTTCTTTCGCACAGCGTCCAACAAACTTTTTCCGGGCCCTACCGAAAAATCTCTTCCATGCTCTTGGTTAACTCCGGTTGCGTCAAGTTACTCTTCTTCTTCTGCTGTCACACTGTACCATCCTTCCCTTCCTCACTCCCCCTTGTCTTCTGCTCACGGCTTTTATCGCCGTTGCCGTTACTCGCACGCTCTATTCTCACGCATACTTTCTCTGCTGCTTCTTCACCTAAACACTTACACCATTTGTCATTTAGCCAAAACCACCCATGCTACTTTTTATTTGATAACCTACCTCCTTTTTACTCTTTACCCACTTCCCCAGCAACTCCTGCCTCTTTCTCTCTTTATCGCTTAAATCATTCTCTATGTAAAATTTCGAGCCCCTTAGCTTATGCTTATTTTGCCAAACTAGATCCCTATCCTCCTTCTTGCTAAACCTTACTACGAACACACTTCCACTCTTTCTCACATGCTCTACATCCACATCGACATACAATTTTTCTTTTAAAAACACATTCATCCCCACTCGCCACTCACCGTGCAGAGACAAGCCTCTAAAGACTAAGTTTGCTTGTCTCGACATCTCATCCTGCCATTTGACTAATCTTTTCATCGCGCTTACTTCAAAATCTGAGAAACAGCTCCTACCGGCCAGCGATTTCCCATCATTAGATATCGACCCTCCCGATTGTCCCGAAGCAACACTACTACTCGTTTTACTGTCTTCCCTCTCCTCCACCCTCAATGCCCCCTCGACGCTACCTGCTTTATCGACCATTTTCTCAAAATTATCCATCGTAGCTTTGGCTTTAGCCCTGAAATCCCGCCACCCATTTTCCAATTTTTCGATTCTTTCAGACAAATCAACTTATACCGCCTTAATATCAACTTTGTTTTTCTCACACACAACATTTTGCTGCCTTATCTTTTTCAGCTCTACCTCCATACTTTCTATCATACTATCTCTCTCTTTGTTAAACGCCGCCCGTTCTTTATTCAAACATTCTGTTAATTCTCTCTCTTGTCGAATTTCACCGTTCTCGCAAAGCTATCCGTTATAGCTGGCTGGCTGCCTGCTCGTAGTCACGCTCGCTTTGTTTCGCTTCGCTTCACCTATACTTTTCACCACCGCCTTCCCCCCCGCACACGCCTCCACCACCACACTTCTCTCTTTCGCACTGTCCTCGCTTTTCTCACCCTTCTTCTTAATGTCCATCGTCTTTTTATCAACTTTCTCACCGCTCTTCCCTGACATATTGTCTTCCGTATAGAAGAAAATCCTTTCCTATACTTCGTCTAAAAGGCACACAAGCAGGCAGCGTCTTGCCACGCCGCACGCCCTAACCTAGAAAACACACACACCTTCACCTTTTTGCTTAAAAGTAACCGAGACGCAACAGATTCCACAAAAACTATGTGCATGTTCCGATCTATTCTTATAACTCACTCAAAATCACACAGTTAACAATAATAAAAAATGCTTAAAACACACGATACAGATCGATTGCCACAGAGCTTCTCTCGCACGCAACCACTCACTCGCGCGGCTAGTAACCAAGTCAAAACAATCTACGAAGGGGCATAAGCCTTAACCATCTTAGTTATCCGAAGAACTTCATTTAGCTTTCATACAAAAATTTTTTTTATAGCTTTTAGGATTACTCATTTGATACTTGTTTTTATATTGCTGCTTTCCTTTATCACTAACATATTTAATTTGATTGAGCTGTGAGAGAAACTTCTTTATTTCAGGAATTATCTGGTGCTGCATTACATATACTGCAGTGGTATTATGTTTAAGCCATTTTGATAGTAGAATAAAACTTTTATGAGTGATAGTATTTTTTTTTAATAATAAATAACAACTTGATAAATGGTGCACTGTGTTTTTTAGTAATAAAACCCTTGTGACACATCTTGTGCAACGTACGCATATATCCCCGAATAGTCTGTGTGCACTACCTTGCTTTTATCTAAGTTGTTCTTTAGATCAAAAATATATTTCGACTGCTCTTGAGAGATAAAGTAATGTGATAATAAAAATTTTAATGTAGTAGAAAAATTCATAAACAAAATCATCGACTGAAAGACACTCTTTCTTAAGAGTGCAGCAGTATGGTGTTTGCCAAGTAAAAAAAAAATTTCTAATATTCCGTTTTGTTGGAAAATATCTAAAATAAACTTGTAAAACTTCTCATTATCTGAACAATTTTTACAAAATCCTAAGTAACAAGATGCCACAAGATTATCACACAAAACAATCTTGAAAAAGTCTGTGAAAGAAGGTATAGAATTAGTGTAGTCCTGAGTAAATCGAGGTAATTGAGCTGCATCTATCACTGGCTTAAAATTTTGGTGCAGTACATAAACGTATAGATTATGAGTACCCCTGGCGCCAGCTACCACACACCATTTCGGCCGAAGTTCTGCAAATTTTCCAAGACGAACTACAAATGTAGGATTTTGACTTTCAAACTAAGTATGAAGGACCTTAATATCAGACAACAATCTCTTCTGCACTTTCATTTTAGTACTATCGACTGTAACTGAGAAAACATCCTTTTTACTGGGCATAACGTGGCTATTTATACCACTCTCATAGAAATCTGTAATTTTTTTCACTGTATCATCGGGTAATTTTTTTCCAGCTTTCATCTGAGGAAAGGCTAAAACACCATCAAGTTTTCGCAGCTCTCTTGCTTTTAAAACACTTCTTCGAGACGTACCAAATTCTTCTGCTACCTGACGAACACTCCAGCTGATTGGAGCTACAGTTAAAATCGTTACACGTAGAGATCGTTCATTGATAGACTTGAAAACTTGTCTTTTAAACTTTGTAATATTTATTCTAGTGCGGTCTCACTCGATGGACGATATTTTTTTGTTGGTGAATGATCTGAATTTTTGGATGTTAAAAACAGGAAGTCGTCTATCATAGTATATATGCTGTGTACTTCTTCAGATTTATTTAATAATTGTTGATTTTAATAATGTATTTTACTACAAACTAGACAGATTTTAGCATGCAAAGGTGTATTCGAAAGTACTTTATGCATACTTTTAAAAATATTTCTCAAATCTCTGCCTACATGACCTTCAATATTATAAGGATTTATGCATCTGTCAGTATGGCCTGCATCTTGAGTTTCGGACATAACTCTGACTATATGCTGCTTTATATATTCATAAGAGCATCCTGTGAAGGAGAAAAATAAAGTTTAAACTTATAAAACTGTCTTTTGATTTGCATCTGAATAATTAAATTTGATTTAAATTCCACAGAGCTGCAATGAAAGAATTTCTAAGCTTATTATGTAAAGCTAAAAATTTCGGCTGCTGCTGTAATTATAAGCATTTCAGTATTAGTTGTCTGTAATGACGAAGTTTAAATGTTATGTATGCAAGCAAAATACCTAAAAATTATTCAGTTTTTTATAAGTTATTAACTGTTTCAATCAGTGTCTTCTTTAGTCTGCGTTGATTATGATTTCTGTTTAATATTACGCTACACTTATTAAATAAACTCACTGCAACATTCAGACTTTTACACGTATTTGATGGAAAGCTGTACAATAAACATAATACATGTGAGCGTTTGATTATCAAGGTTTGTTTGCGTAGCTAGCCTGTTTGAGAGTAGCGTGGTATCAGTTTCGCTACAAAGTTGGTATGTAAAAAACTTTTTTTATAATGTAGATAGTATAATAAAGTTTGATGCAAATAA